AGCCTTGGGCTGCTCGATCACGTGGATTCCCGCCTTTCGGCTTGGTTCGCTTCCAATCTGCTCTTCTCGACCGGCTCACCAAATCGGCTCGTCTTTGTACAGATAATATCTTATATCAGTCTCCATTTGACCATGCAATAAATTCAGGGACCCTGAGGGGAGTTATAAATAAATCGCATTCTAAGTGAATCCCATTTCTCGATCCTTAGTTCAGAGGAATTCAATTATACGTCATCCGAGGGGAAGCTCGTACTCTCTCATAAGACTCCCTCTAATCGTCTAATTAGAAATTCGTCCTGGTAATTTCCTACAATCAATTTTAGCGATGTCACCCGAGGGAGAGCCCATAACCGCAATTAATTGATTTACCGACAAATTAGAAATGGAGGCCTTAGGAATTTTTCAATTAACTTTAATTTAAAATCCCTTCTCAAACTTAGTATAATTTAAATGAGGACTTTTACTTATTTAAATATTTATGCAATTCTAAATTAATCCTATGTAAATGCAATAATTAATTAACATCCATAATTAAACTAAATTAATCCCATGCAAGTACAATAATTAATTAACATGTATAAATAAATAAATAAATAAATAATGGCATAATGAATATAAATAAATAAATCTACTATTATGGCCATTAAATATTGAGTTCCCATAAACAAGAAAACCTTGTATACTCTTTCCATGTTCAACTGGAACTCCCACTGCAGTAGAATCCTTGTAGATCTTGTATTGCTTAGACACCAAGTAAACCTCTCCACCGCTGACAGCCCGCCGTCGCTGCCGGCCGCCGTCGCCGGTGGTCGAAAAATAATAATATTTTTTTTTCCCGCGCGTGTCCGTGCGCGCCTCCGGGCTTCGTCCCGGTTGGTCTTTCGAGGCTCGTTGATCTCTTGTGATCTCCCGGCAATTAATCCACGATAACAACACGAAAAATATAATTTACAAAATTACATAATCCGATTCTAGATCCAACGAATGGATGTACATGATTTCTATACAAATAATTAAATCTATCCGGTCAACCCCCAGGCGAATAATTATTACAAACATTCATCCATCAAATTCCTCGACATGTCCGAGGCTTAAAAACAAATTTAAAACTATACATCACATTCATCAACATTCATCAAACACATAATCAGCCATAATAGTGGATTTAACTAATTCTTGCAAAACTGAGTTATGCGAATATAATCCAATATATGGCTGCGTTTGAACACATCTTGACAAATAAAGCCGTATAAATATGGACTTGTACACAAAGAATTAAACCAAGCTCTAATACCACTTGTTGGGATCAACAAAGATCTCGTTATGCACAAATCACGAATTCAATAGCAAAACGTAAACCTATGCGCAGCGGATCTAAAGGTTTGCATAGAGAACTTACGGCTTAAAATTTATGGCGATCTGGCTGATTTTCTGGATGGTCGTGTAATATCCCGATATTTTATCGGTATAAATTATGTTTTAGTTCCGATATAATAACGTTATCGTTTATTATTTTCGGAATTAATTATGTTCAGTCGAGATTACCGAAATTTATTTTCGACGTACCGTTTACGTTCGGAATAATTTTGGTAATTAAGCATTATGTTTAATTAAATAATTAAACATAAATTGAGTGATTAATTATAATTAATCACCATGTTAAGCCTTATAAACCGTCCAAAAAAATTTATATATATATATGTTGAGGCCGTACGGTTTTAGTTATTAAAGTTCTTTTGGACTTGTTCAAATAATTTCTCCAATACCGAAGGCTCCCTTCACTAAGTGGTAAGCTATTCTTTTCCTCAAATTGGTGCAGCTACGTGGCTAAATTAGGGAGCAATTAGTCATCTTCAAATTATCTCCTAAGGTAGCATTTGGCAAAGGTTTAAGGAGCCACGTCGCTCGCACGTCACCTCATTTCTCTCCGCGGCTACAAGTATATAAAGGGAGAGTTGCCCAAAATTTTTCCCACCTTTCTTATATGTTCAGTTCTATACGAAGGTTCAGCAGCAAGTACCTCTAATTAGTCCCTCAATTCCATATATAATCGCACGGCAAATCGGAGTACCGCACGGCACACGCAAGGACAAGGAAGCACGCCCCATCTTTCCATTTCGGTCGGACAATTGTCAAGGTATCTTCCTCCTCATGTTAGAATCATGTCAGTAAGGTCATTTCAAGGTTAATTGTTCGAGGGATTTTCAGAAATTCTTAAGAAAATTCATGTTGAACCTGGTTAGGGCATGTTAGTTCTATACCGAGTTAAGTTCAATATTCTTCAGCAAGTCATGAGCATTTTTGGTTTCTTCAGCTTTCATTTAAAGTGTAATATTCAGCTGAGAAGGATAGGTCGATAAAAGTTAACTTTATGTTCATGAAATGGCTCAAGAAGGTGGGCTGTGCACCTAGCGCACACCCGCGGGCCATTAAGGGCTTGGTACCTTATCTTTCATTATGGTCAAGTTAGTCCGAACGGTTTGTGTTTAAAAGATCAAATTAGGTCAATTTATAGTCAGTCAGTTCATGTTGGTCGAGATATTGTTAAGTTTGGTCGAGGAATTGGCCGTAAGCCGTAGGCCTCGCACGTAGCGAGCATACTGCGGCCGTGTGTTAGGTCCAGTGAGTAAGTTCAGCAACTTCCTTGTAAATTCAGTATAATGTTCATGTTAAGTCAGAAAATGTTAAATGAAGTCAGTTCGGTCGGAGAATTTTGTAGGACGGCCGGCCGCATCGGCCAGCAGTCAGCGTGACAGGCAGCGCGCACAAGCGAAGCTGCGTGCGTGATGCCTGTGCACGGTAGCAAAAGGGTGATGTCAGTAGCACGCCAACCCTCCCCTTCATGCGAGTCAGCGTACCGTAACGCACGGCAGCGTGCAGTACGTGTCCAGTAGTAGCCGCAGCGTTGCCCAACGCACGTCTGCGATCAGTT